CATATGTATATATACTTTTTAAGTCATGTATCATGCATAGGAACGTTGATGCCTGCAAGGCTCTGGTTTTGTTATGTATACAGTATCCTCAATTCTACTTATACCGGTGATGATTTCGTTGAAAACAGTAGTAGAGTAGTAGTAGATTTTTTCACATGGCGGTGAAATTCCCTGTCCTGATTAAGCACTTTCTTCCAATGTTTCGCTGCTAATCTGCAGCTGGGGGTGTTAGACTGTTGATCTTTAAATCCGTTCCCAAGTTGGCAACTGGTGTGCCTTTTATATATGTAGATACTGCTCCTAATATGATATAGAACTCCAAATTTTTTTCTCCAAGGGATGTTGGGTCCTTTGGCGCTACCAAAAGTTTGTGTAGAGTGTTGTGTGGTTTGAATGATTTAGTAGATCATTATTATTATTATTTTTGCAAGCCAAATTGTAATTATTCTTTTTGTTTTCAGTTTGTAAATAAGTTCAACGTACTCTACGATAGACAAGGCATTGGGCGGCGTATGCGTGGTCTATTCTTTTGAAATCCTGCAATCTTGTACAAGAAACATCTTTGCTGTTAATATCATCATCATCATCAGATCAACAATCACATTGTGGAAATTTATTGTAGGTTACTATCATTGATAGGCTAAGAAAAACATCTTTATATTATTTTTTAAAGCTGGCTCTTGTTTTTATTTATATTTATGATGATATTAAAGTTTGATATTATTGAATTTGCCAAAGGGCCTCTGTGCACTTCACATTGTCAACATAATTATTAGAACACTCAGCTCTCAAAGGGAAAATATTACAGCTATTAATTAGCACGGATCATTAAAAACGATCCATTGCCCACACATCGGGGTATTGCCTATCACCATCGGCTGCGGTGAGTGCCCAGCTTAACCCTACGAATTACTTATACTCCTGTGTGCAGAAAATCAACCATAGGCAAAGTGCCTTGCCTAAGGATTCAAGTAAAATGTAGAAGTTTGAACCTCCTACTACGAATCATAAACACTCCAACTCTCTGGTTAGGCTAATAAGCATTAAAAATATTTTTTTTGATTGCTTTTTCAGAGAATTGAGATAAGCTTATAATATATTACCGTAAAACCTTGAGATGAAGCCCATCACGAATTGAAGCCCCACTCTTTAGTTTGCAAAATTAGCCTCGACAGAAGCCCATGGGCTTCTTTTTGAGATAGTACAGTATATACACTGTACATGAATTTTAAAAAACAAAATCAATTAACAAGCTTGGTTTATACAGTAGTTTAGGTGATTTAATGTCAGTTAAATACACTCCATGATACAGATTGATGTTACGGTGGCCGTATTTATTGTTTTATAATGCTCATTTTGAAAAGAAGCCCATCTCGAAAGAAGCCCATTTAAAGTTTGCAAAAGAAAGAAGCCCAGGACTTCAATTCGAGGTTTTACGGTTTTTGCATAGTTCCCTGATTTGTGGAGAATAAAGTCTGAAATCAGTAAAACTCGAACTGTTTCAATCTCTTCTGGCTCTCAAAAAGACTTGGTAATTATAGCAGCATTGTGAGTTCATCCCTAACTGTGAAGTTTTTGTTTTGTGTGATTTGATGTTGCACAATCTCCCCTGCCACTCACGGTTAATAGTTAATCATCATTCCTGATAATGACATAATTAATGTCGAAATATTGAATCCCGACCCTATGGCGTGCATTTCGATACTTGGAGTATGTATTATACTATCTTATCTGAGCTTTCGGTAAGTAGTTAAGGTACTGTAGTTGAAAAGAAAATGGTTGACACAAATTTTGATGAAAAGAAAATTGGAAAACAATCAGCTTTTTCATAAGACCAGCCAAATGCAAGTGAATTTGAAAAAGTACTGCATATAGGATGTTTGAGAGTGGAAGACAAATCAAATTGGGTGTTTCTTGAAAACCCAGGGGTGGCGCCAGGATTTTCCCAACGGGGGGAGGGAGGCCGATGCCTCGACAAGGGGTCAGATTTCCCCGACGAATGCAAAGTGGGCGTGGTCGAGCTTCGATTAAAAGGTTTCGGAAGTGGTCCTGGGGGGCGAAGCCCCGAAAATTTTGACAATTTAGGGGTTTCAAAGGCTTATTTAATCAATTTTATAGTCTACTAATATGTAGAAAATACATGTAATTTTTTTTTCTCCCGGCGAATTGTGCTTTTTCTCCCCGACGAGGGGCTGGCACCACCCCTGTGAAAACCTAGGAGCAGATGGCATAAGTTGAAAAAGCTCCTCAAAGCAATGGCAATTAAAATAACGATAGAGTAAACCGAGGCAAGCAACGTTGCGCTGATGAGCCAAAAGTTTCAAGATTCCAAGTTGGATCAGTTTTGGAAAGAAGTCTCATACAACCACCCTACAGTTACAAAAATAAACAGTAGAAACTTCAGCATATTGAACCTGGTAATCTAAGGATTGTGGTTGTGGGGTGGAGGCAATCCATTCTCTTTTATGATGCTCATGGGCTACATATTGACCGACGTCTTAAACGTCTCATCCGAAAGACCGTGTGCAAATTATAACTTGTATTAGCATACCAGTGGCCAACCAGTTTAGCCGGCTAAACTACCGTACTCGGGCGAATAAGCGCCCGGGCGCTTAAAATATTTTTTGCACTTTCTGAGGGGCGCTTATGGAAATAGATGAAAATCGAGGGGTTCTTATGGGAAATTATTAAATTCAAGAGGCACTTTGTGAATGAAAAAAATGATTATATAAGGACATTACGAATGGTGGTCAGAAAAGATAATCGTCCAAAGAACATGGCTCATGACAAATGCGTGAATATTTACATTACAGTAAAATAGCAGATGCTAGTGGTTAGCTTGTTGACCATCGGCCGATTGAGATTAGCAGGATGGCAGGTTCATTGTATTTTTTCTTGAAAACTCAGATGAGAATGTGCTAAATGTCGGAGAAAAAAGTAGGACATAGGCATAGACAATATAAAAAGATAAAGTTGGAATATACTGTCCAGGGATCGGAGCTCCCATCTGTCCAAGAGAAATATCTCATTTTGATATTGACCGAAGAAAAATGTGTTTCCACTCTACAGCTCAAATCATGCCAACAACTGATTGGATTATTGACTTGCTAAAAAGAAAATCTTATGAGAGGGGCGCTTATTCAAACGGGCGCTTATTCGCGCGAGTACGGTAAGCTGCTCTAAGTTGTTTATAGCGCCCCCTATAATCTCCTTAACTTCTCCAAAAAATTAACTTCCCTTTGGACAGATCAATATATGTAATTCAGTTTTCACTACACTTTAAAATATCACTTAAATGTTTAATAAAAACATTTAGGTTTTTGAATGACTAAAATATAAGTGTACCTAAACGTAGGCTAATTAATGAATGATTATCAACTCTTCTAGAAAGTCGGAAGTTACTCGTTTTCGTCTTATATGATGATAGACAATACAGTGTGCGACATGCAAATGTACTCCGTAGTGGAAACTTATTCGCCCAATCAAGTATGTTTTATCAATAATGAAATTCGTACGAATTTTGCGTTAAAACAATTGAATAGGCCTACTACAATTTTTAATGTTTTAAATGAATGATCCAACAATAGGCCGGCACAAGCACGTAGCCTAATTACAAAATACTACATGCACAGGTTACCCTAAATGAAAATTTCTGTTCTTAAGTTTTTATATTACTTCATATGCAGTCTGTGCAACTTGAATAGCATTGAAAATGAATTACCCAATATATAATGATTTCAGATCCCACCTGTACGATTATATTTTCCAAATCAACCCATCCTTTGCAGACTCTAACGGCAAATTAAATTTTTTAATAAGCAATGGCAACCACTGTTATAGGGTAGCTAAATTTGCCTACCAAATTATCTCCTTACGGCAGTCTATTGTGTTTAAGTAAATCATATTTTAAGAAATGTTTGTATATCCTGTTATTAAAACATTTTTAATCGTGTTTTTTGCTTGGATTTTAAAAATGTCCTGTATTTCACTCATAAGCCAGAATTGGCTGGTCTCTGTTTTAATCTGAGAATGTGAAACAAATAAATAAACTAAATATATACGCATGGCAGAACAGACGTTTGTATTTTTTGTTAATTTCTGAACAGACGAAATCCAATTCGACCTAGCTTCTGTATGCTGGTTGAATCAATTCTTTAGTAAATTTATGTTTTGGGCTTAAAAATCTGTACTAACGAGAGGAAGTCGGCACCCATACCTCACGATGGAGAGACGCAATTAGATTAGATGATCGATACGCGTTTCCCGTGTAGACGCAGCTACAACGTCGCCTCGCTATTCACTACGCTTTCCATTCGAATCGAAATATTAATTTAAGTGCATTGTATCCTCGCCTCCTTTGTGATATGAAATTAATGACGACAATATTAATTACATATCAATCAGCCGATTTATCACGCGGGAGTCTATAGGTTTATTAATCGTAGAACTGTGTCTGGGGTCCATAAACGAAACATTAATAATAAAATAAAGCCGGCACATGTATAATAAAGTCTACACATTTTAATGACATCACAACAGTAGATACACACTAATAAATGGAATCACAAAAATACACTTGTATACATTCTAAAATTTTAGCTGTAATACAATTATTATTTACAACAATTGCAAAGGTTTTAAAACTTTGAAATGACAGCAAGGTAAAACAATAGTTGACGGTACAGTACTGGAGCTGAAACCACCTTTCTCTTCAAAAACAGTCACTAAAATGTTTCTGATATTTTAATACCTAATTATAAAACACAAACAGTAATACATGAATAAAAATTAAAAAATATATATATTTAATGTTGAAATCTATACTTTAAAATAACAAATGTTATTCGTAGTAGGCCTATAATCACAATAGTAATAATAAAAATATTTGGTCTAGTTAAAAGCAGTATTTTAAATCTATCATTACATTGATGAGTATCAGTTTATTATTCATTTTTATCACTGTATGTTAAAACTTGCATTAACAAAAATCAAAACGGCATTGCTTCTAAACGCACTGCGCGTAATTTCATTGCTAGGTCATTTCCTGGCAACTCTTTACTGTTTTTCTAATACGCGTTTTCATCAAGTGGACATCTTTGAAAACAGTAGCATTCCTATCTAATCCCTTTGGTAATTATGCTGCTTCGCATGTCATGCTTGTTTTTGGAAGTTGTTTTCTTCTGTTTCTCTAAACCCTCGAAGGTTCGCCACAAGCGCAGAGTCTCGTCAGCTGCAGCAGACATGACCTTTGTACCATCAGGTGAAAGACACATGGATAATATCCGGTTTGTGTGACCTAATCAATCAAAGATATACATAAATCAATCATTTTTTTTCTCAATACCTAAGGCAAGCAGGGGAATGTACACAGAAATGTAATAATTATATTGCAAAGAAAATTGCTGTTTGCTGATTATCTAACACTTTTTATTGTTCAACTTCAATTTGAATCGCTATTTCACTGTCTTTGTCATCATTTAGGAACTGAATTATCGTCATCACCAACACCAACACCACCAGCACTATTATTATTGTCATCATCTTCACCATCTTATTTTTTTCACCACCACCAACATTTTTATCATCGTCACCATCATAGTCTTGAGTAATTATTTAGTTTAGTAATTGTTTATAAGTATCCTACCAGATCCAGTTCGGCGGGAAAATTAATTTTGCCCAAAAGGCAGATGAATATGGTAGAAAAAGATTTGCTTTTAGGTACTCAAATTTTTTTGGATGCAGGTGTAGATAATTCTTGTTAATCTTAATTTTTTTGTTGTTTGTTTTTGTTTTAAAAAAATATATATTTCGTTGTCATTCACGTGATTTTTAATGTTCTATGCGTATTTGGCTCTCTGGGAGGACGGTAACCCGGTATAAAGAGAAAAAAGAAATAAATGTAGGCCAGCTATAGAATCCGACAACCTTGTTTTACCCGTATTTGTGACGCACACGCGAGAAAGGCAATGTACGCCATGACTACTAATAGTACAGAATGAAGGGCTTGAAATTGACGTGTAAACAATGCAAACGCAACGAGGTTTGGCGTATACGTATGCGTTGGCGGGGGAAAGAGAAAATATTGAAAAAGCTGCATCTGAAGCGTTACCAGCAAGATAAAATGTTATGATAAGTGATATGAGGAGTGTCATTAATATGAACAATAATACAGATGAAAGTATGAGCTTAACATGTGACCTTCGAATAAATGAATTATCAGAGCCATGGATGACGTTTACGCGTTATAGTTACGAACAGTACCGTAGTTGCTGCCTGTAAATCCTCATCAATCATAACCTATTTTTAGCGTTATTTACCCAACTTAAAGGAGACTTTCTCTTGAGCTTAAGTAATAACAATGCGCACAGTTCAGCGAGCGCGTATACATGTAAATGAAGTTACGCGGTGTATCTCATCCAATCAAAACGAAGAGCTTCGAATGAATACATTTTAGTCGAGAAATCTATTTAAGGTATTGTGTTCATCTGGTGCCAACGCGACAATGCTGTTTAATCCTTAATGTTGGTCCATATCTTAATCGATTAGATAATCACTATTTTAAAAACATTTACTGTTATTGTTGTATTTAATTACTTTGTGTAATCAATCATTGGGAATCTCGTATCCTTACAAAAACAATAAGTACATGCGATAAATCTCAACTACTTAGTAGAATAACCAGTGTATCTGGAGAACGAGGATTTTCTCTGTTCATTTCATAACCTTTACGAATAATCATGTTGGTTATTAAAAATGTTTTCCATAATGATTTAGCAGTTACGTCATCATCCCACAAATAATACACAATGAAATAAACTTTTTTAACTTCAAAATAGGTTAATGGAACAATACCTTTAAGTTCTGTAACTTTAGCCATGGTGGGATATTTCCAGATTGTAAGTTGAAACTGTGAGTATCCATGACTTGAAATCAGCTCCCGGTGTTCATGGGACCAGAGCAGAGCTGACACCTGCGCAGTATGAGCATAATTAAAGAACGAACGAATGGATGGACCAATAAATAAATTAGTAATTCCATGAATTAACCAATCAACTAATAAATCAATCAGCCAACCAATCAATCAAATACAACCGATTAATCAGTGATTAGATCAATCAACTAATAAATCAAACAACCAACCAATCAATCAACCAGTGAATAAATCAATTAAGCATCAACGAATCAACCTCAATTTTTCTATTAATATCTAGTAAATCATTTTTTCTTTTATCCCCTTATCATAAAACGTAGTTACAGATACCTTAATGTACATCAATGTGTCTTACGATAAATTGAATTTTAAAAACCGTTGAGTAAAACACAGAAAATTCTAGCTCTTCAATAGTTGATTTAAGAGGGGGTGGGGGCTATTTTTTTCGAAATAAAAAAAAAAGGAAAAATTGTATGCAGATTTAAGTCTGAGTGCGCCCTTTCCGACCACCTAGAGTTTCCATAATCATAACTTTTCTGACAGCCCCATCCATGGTGGGGCTGAGGTCGGTGGACCCTCTATTTGTGGCAGTCACCGACTGGGACCCCCACTATTACAATTCCTGGATCAGCCACTGCAGCATCTGAAAGTACAATGTGCGCTCGAAAATCTAGTAGGCTATCATGCCAATAAAACTAGCATGCATAGAACGACTGATCTCATTTTGTTAAAAATGTTTTTGACTTACTTGAGAGTTTGTATCAACATTATTAAGAGAAGACCCTGTGTTGCAGTTCCAAAACCGAATGTGTCTGTCTGCCGTACCACCACCACTAGCAAGTAAGTATGGTTGCCATGGACACCAAGCCAATGCCTAAAATATATTAAAAGTTACATAATACATTTTTAGTATGATTTTCGTAGTAAAATTCTGTAATAAAATTATTTCGATCTTGTGCTTCATGGTAATCATTGAAATGAGGAATTCAATGTTTTCATTTTATTTTTTAATGTTTTATAAATTATCTATTTATGCCTAATTAATTTGTAAACAGCATTCCTCATTACCACAGCAAGAAAGTACATTCTACCGGATCCGAAACTCGATTTTAATTTTAAAACACTAGGTTTATTAATCTTTTGAACAAGAACATTCAACAGTTTAATTTTACTGTTGATGTACTTTTCACCTAATTTATGCTGTATTTAATTCAATTTCATTCATTGTAAAGTTGTTATTCTTTGGTATAATATTTGGTTTTTCACTTGGACTATACATACATCCAGTAATATTATACCAAATAAAATAACATCATACAATATCGTAACTATTACCTTAACTGCAGCTTGATGTTGAGTGAAGCTATGGATAGGAGTGGTGTCGTTCCCTAACCCACCACCCCAGATATTCAATAGATTGTCGTTGCCCCCACTGGCCAGATACTTGCCGTCGTGACTCCACTGCAGTCCGCATACCTCTTGCGTGTGGTTATTCAGAGTAGCAATTCGGTGGTCCGCGATTCTCACATCATGCTGGTGTATTGCGCCGCTCCGTGAGCCACTATTTTCAAATAAAGTTCAAATATTAAGAACCTTATTATTAATAACAATGAATTTTATTTAGATGCCTAACGTCAACACAACGAAATCAACGATTCAAAGATGGAAGACGGTAATGATCTGGCGGGCATCGCACCTTACATTTCCGGAAATGGATGCAGTGTTGTACTTGTTTTGCTGTGCATTTGTGGTCTGTAAGTTAGGTTCAAAGTTTTGATTGGATTTTTAGCTGTGAGATACACCGAAATATAAAACACCAAGTCAGAAGACTTATTTCTGGTGGTGAACTGGCTAATACACCAGAAGATAACTTTCTACTCTACTATAAAATGTACTGCGTTTTTTTTTTAAACATCCACATGAACCATACAAGTTTTATTGTCTATCGGTGAGCATTGAGGCCATTTCAATATAAAGCACTACATAAATTTTGAATTATTAAAGGGTATATGAACATTGTGGTTGAGTAGCTGGTTCGTTAAACAAGAGTTGGAAAGGTTCTTACATTATTGTTCCTCCCATTAAGAAATTCATTTTGTTGTGAAGCATCTCTTTCGAACTAAATCATTGGGTTATTCGACTGGTTCATTTCGTTGAGTATTATTTTCATTCGACTGGTTCGTAAAAAGGACTTCGTTGACAACGAAAATTAACGTAACCAGAATGCGTTAATCAGCGTTAAGTTATGTACGTGACCAAAAAAAATAATGACCGATTGGTCAGTTTAGCAACAACATTTGCGTTAATATAATTTAGATTAAATTTCAGAAAATAAAAATTATAATTAACAGAATTCAAAAACTGGATGAAAACATTTTTTTACGAAAAACCCCATAGTGCCAAAATCTGAAGCAGCCTTGATTACGCAGCGTGTATCACGGTAACTATGCAGCCATTTTGTTTTACCAGTTTTCTATTCGAATGGTCGTCTTCGTTAAGTAGGTTTTTACCACGGTGGGCGTGGTATAAGGAAGAACGACCAGTCGAATACGGCCATTATGTCAAACTAAGCATACCTGGACAGAAGAAATGAGTTCCATGAGAGCGAACCAACTCTTGCTGCGTGACCACTCATTGTTCGTAGGCATTTTTCTTTTTCGACGTCCCATAACTGGAATTCGGAAAAACAATTTGTAAGTGGTGATGATTCACCAAAAATTGAACAGTTTTTTTTTTATATCGAGGCCTAAATAAAATAAAATTACATCAGTTGTATCAAAACATTATATTACCACCTCCTTTGTCAACGACACCATCAAACCTCTCGTCTCCCGTCATAATTTATAAAGTTATTAGAATTATAATTATCATTATAACTGTTATCAATATAACAATCATAACCACCATCACATTATCATATCACTACTTTTGGCTTCATTACACGTTCCAGCTTCATCAACAACATCGTCATCTTATTGTCTTTTATCACACCATCACCATTACCAGCAATTATCATCATCAGCATCATGAGTCATCATGTCATTATCATCACCTTCATCGTCATCATTTTCATCAGCATCAATATCATCACTCTTATATGTTCATTAGCATCAACAATATCAATAGGATCATCAACATCATCAACAACGACAACATCAACAACGTCGTCTTCAACGCCACCACCACAATCACATTGTAATCATTATAATCATGATTATCTTCATCCCCATTATTGTCATAATCATGCCCGCCATCTTATTCATCATCTTTAGCACCACTATTAAAAGAACATTTTCTTGTTATCTTCACGTTTTTAAATATGTAATTATTTTGTTAAAAATTGATGCAAAATTGTGTAGAACACCAAAGGGGACAGGAACGTTAACAGTTAAATCTAATTTTAAAATTCACACCTGCACTTGTCCGAGTGAGTTGCTAACGGCCAAAACATTTCCTTCGGCTATCCACGACACGCACGACACGTATTCGTCTGGATTTTCCATTTGCAGAAGATGAGTTATTTCGCCATTGTTTGCGTTCCATAGATACACTTCGTTGTCTAAACCAACGGCTATCAAATTCTTCAATCCCCAGTCCATCAAAGTGAGATCTTGACACGAAAACAAAAATGTAAATTCTGAATTACATTACACTTTATTTTGACTACACGTTGTCGGTCATTTAGGCACCATAACTGTATTTAGCTATTTCATTCGTCTGTCCATTTACTCAGTAATTCAATGTTAATTTGAAATTTAAAGCGTGTAGGTTCAAGAAGTCATAAAGCTTTATGACTAAGCAAAGAGATTGACATTTTCTTCACACTCAAATGTAGGCCACACGCCCTCCAAGCACTTTATATAGAATATACCTGAGGTCTTTAAGGCCACTGCATCATTTGTCGTCTAGCTGGAATAAAAAGGGTCATTACAAAGTCAAAGTTTTAATAATAATGATTATGATGATAAATATGATGTTTATGATGATGGTGATGAGAAAAATGATGATGGTGATGATGATGATGAGAAAAATGAGGATGGTTATGATGATAAATATGATGATGATAAATATGATGATGATAATCGTGATGAGAAAAATGAGGATGATCAGATGAAAAATATGATAAAGATGATGGTGAGGATAATTTTGATGAAGAGGAGAGGACTGCAGTGGATCACAAATAAACGACCTCACCAATATTGTGACATAAATGCTTGGATATAAATTGAGACACATATTTATCTTTACAATTCTGGAGATTTTATTCAAACTTACAATAATCGTCTCGAAGTTGCGGTGCGTCCATGATTCTGTCTGCATTCTGTGGTATTTGTCGGTAACTTTTACATTTGGTTGTGCTACCGCAGTTCGATGTGTACAACACTTTCAAATTGTTGGAAAACCCTAAAACATGTAAATATTAATAAAGTATTTAGTATGTATAGTGGTTGGCAATGGCAAATTGGGAAATTCGTTTAATTTGATTTCTTAACCTAGTTACAGTATCTATTGTTATGTTAGTAATGGGTTCTATTCATTCTTCTCCGGCAGATAAATCTGTTTATTTCTATCTCATCAATCGGTGAATTGTACATGCCAAGGTTGGATATAAACTAATTGAGGGTAAAAAACGTCTGTTACCTGAATAATCTGAATCCAATTCCTCAAAATAGAAAATTTAGCGAGAGTTACCAAATCGATCTTTGTTGTCTTAATTAGAAATGGGGACATGGGACAAATGGCTTTAAACTCTCTTCTAAAATGAGGTGTACAATGTGTATTTTAGATTCAGAGAAACAACTTTGGAACCAGCAACCAAAACATCTACATGAATCAGAAAACACACAATCGTTACCCTTAGTTTTTAACCAACTCACGCATTGTCATCTCTGTAGCATTTTTCTTATATAGTATGAAAACGTTATTCAGGCTGCTTGTTTAAAAGTTAACTTAATAGGTCTACAAAGGTAATGGACTAAGTAACTTTAAAACGGTTTTACCTTCTGGAACTCTTGGGGCGTTTTTCTTAAATTTAAGGATTTTTGATTCTTGTACCGTGTTGTCATTAAGCAAGTGTGCCATAGTCGATGAGTATTTTTTGTTCTGCTGTTGCTGGTCTTCATCTCCACTTGCCTGGCTTTCTGGACCACTTGAATTTTGACTATTCGAACCAGCAGTCAACTTAAAATTACTCACAGCCATGTTAATTTCTGAACGATTCGGAATAAATCTGTTGAAAGAGTATCAGTTTAATATCATCAAAGGTTCTTCAAACCTAGTTGCTAAAGAGTGAAAAAAAAGTTATATCCAGCCTTTTCAAGTCAGATAATCTTGCTTGAGCACCTTTAAAGCTATGTCAACACTCTAAAGTTTAATGCGGAAAATATGTGATTTGCTGAGAGTAAATAGATATAATTTCTAACACCATGCCCATGATATAATATGGACATAATAAAACAAATTTGTCACATAAAAATTCCTTGATATTGTGGATAGAACGTTAGTCAAGAATATTATATAAAAATGATGAGAATCATCAGCTATGTTATGATCAACTATTATAATCACATTGTATTTGAGAACACTTTATCATTACAGATAAAATTATTTGGTGTTGCCAATACAATTATTCGGTTTCTTGTTGAATAAAATATATTTTGACTCATTATAATACAAATCTCATCCAACAGTTATTTATTATTATAAAATTAGTAATAGCATTTGGAAGATAAGGAAATCAAAACTAATAATAAATGAGAATTAGAACGTCTCAAAAGTGGTAGTGATACTTATGGTGCTGTGCTGTTTACCAGCCTTGTTAAGTTCCATATTTGTTTGATGCCTATTGAAATTTTTTCAAATTACAAGATGAAAGTATATGTTACGTGTAATAACTTTAAAACTCCATATGGGGTTAACATTGGAATCGCTTTAGTTGTAAAAATTAATATCCTGGAATAGGCCTATGTTGAATATACACACATGCAGGGGCGCTAAGCTTTAAGGAGAGTACACTTGTGATGGCTGTGACACAATAGTATAGGTATTTTCTGAAAACATGGCTCTATCTGTGTCCTTTTGTTTCAATCAGAATTTCAGAACATCATTTATAGGCAGGTAGTAATAAATACATCAATTAGTGTGATGATTAATTTAAAAAACGTCAAACTCCCATTAACAATTATATTGACAGTTGACATCTAGCAATTGCTCTATCATGTGTCAGTTCACTTTGTAAACCAAATAACACAGAAACACAGCGGTTGACACTACACTACTGGCTTAACCAGCAATTAATTGCAACAATTCTGGCAATAACTTGTCAATTCATAAGTCTAATTTTGTGATTATATCTGCCGTGACCTATGTTTACAGTTTTCATTGAAGACTTTATTAAGCTCAAATTTGCATTGTCGCATGTTTCAGCAATAACTAGCCCGGTGCGCATGTCACGTACGTACCGATCTCCTTGGTAATTTACTCCATGGGCTGGAGTCTTCGATTTTCCAGCTAGGGGCTTAGCTTTCCCCTGAGATCTCATCGGCGTCTTCTTAGGAGTTTTGTTTGGAGTGAAGTTGTTTTTGTAACTGCACCGTCGAGATGTCGTCTTTGGTGTTTTTAGTTTAGACAATCGGAGTGGTGACAGGGCTAGATGGTTAGGGTCATCTAGAAAGAATGTATGAATATAATAATGTTAGTTAACGACTTGTTTCAATTCAGACCAAAAAAAAAATAATCATCATGATGAACAATATGATCACAATAATTGCCATCATCGTCATCAACATCATCGTCGTTGTCATCGTCGTAATTACTAACATCATCATCATTACAATCATCATCACCACTGTCAACTTCGTCATCACCATTATCATCACCCTTATCAGCACAAATTTGGTTGCTTGTCTTTGACCTAATATTAATTATGCGTACAGTTTCCTGTGAATCAGGTGGTTCTGAGAAGAATTGGGTTTTAAACTGTAAAAAAAAAAACCACCGAACTCTTCTATTAGATAAATATTTATGAAAAAAAGGGGAAAAAAAACATTAAAACGTAGTTTTTATCATTTCTATTACACTTTTGAAATATTATCCTATTTTTCAATGTCTACCTTTATCCATTGCTTTCCGTTGCCATCGGGGCGCAGGACATCTTAACATCGGTGCGTCTAACTTGACCAGGTCATTTATGGTGGACTCAAATTGAAAGTGCGCCATATTTTAACAGGCGACAATTCAGACGGTGTTTGGTCTGATAAGCAAAATCAGAACAGTATCCTAGTCTGTATGTAAAATATAGTTTTAAATACCATGCAAATAATATAAGATGTTTAACTCAACAATGAGTTGAAAATATTTAATTCAATCCTTAAATTATTCTGATTTGCTCGCCAAAAATATAAATTATAAACTGTTTATAAAGTCTCTGAGTCTTAGGGAGGGGAGCTGTTGGCATACATTTCACGTAAAGATGTTGTTCGTTTCACGACTTTTCATCAATCAAGGTAATAATTTATACAAAACTACTTAGCAATCCGATTTTAATTTTCCAATCACATCAATTGCATTTCTAGGCCATATTGTTAGTAATCACACAGTGCAATCTATATTGGTTAATACTTAGCATTTGATTTGGTATAAATCATAGAATGCTAGAAACGTTTTCCAAAGTGTGGAAAATTCAATGAAAAAAAATAAAATAACCTTTTATCCTGTACAATCTCAGTTAAGATAAAGAACTTGAATTGTAAATCGACAAACGTAGTTTACTTTGCTGGTGGACACTTGCAGTGTAGAGACACGGAAAGTGATTTGCTTCAATGGAATTTATTCCCACCTGCATGCAATCTAGTTCCAGGTGGTGGCGCATGACTGTCAACTTAATCAGTCAAAATAGCCTTGAAACCTTTTTTTAGCTTTTGCCTAAATTTGTCGCAGTATTAGTGGTTAACATACAACAATAGAAGTTACGAAAGGTAAATAAATATTTTTGAGACATATGCCAAGTGTTGCAATCAACATTACAGACAATTAGATTGCTATCCCTATTTTCAAAATGAGTGCGTCCATTTCTGAAATTCTTTCTGCAAATCAAGATATACGATATCGGAGGAAAACGGGTAATTAAAGCATGTTGGCCTGTAGGTATATCTGTTTAGATTTCTCTAATGTGCCTGTTTTTATTATTTAAATGTTAGAATATATGTTTGATGGATAGGTGATTTTAGATAATATTAATAACGTATCGAACAGCCAATAAATCTGCTATCAAGCAATCATAATATCTCAGGGACAAATTACTATAGCAATTTCACCATCATTGGAATGCAAACAATAGCAGAAAATTGCATTTAGTCTGTACAATAGCCAAGGCCTGGAGAATTTCAAAAGGCTTTGTGCTCGTCTTAAGAGTATATACGTCACCTGTGTAATTTCTATTGAATGATTCAAATCCGGCGAGAATAGATGAGTGTCATAATTCTATAGAAATGAGACCATGTGCATTGAGAGTAAAAAGAAATTGTGCACAGGGCTAGGTGTCATCAATGAGTGCCGATAGGCTATCTATTGTGTCATCACTCCACTACTGTCATTTCATTCTTCTCAATGGCCTTTCTATTGTATTAACCAAAGCTACCATTTTCATTTGCTGAGCATCCTCTGAATACCATACAATAATGGAAAATTATGCCACTCAAAATTTCTATAGCATAAAAGAATACCATTCAATAATAACTAAATAAGCCGACAAAAGCTTGCTAGCGAATTCACAGACCACACATTCACGACAAGCCTCCGTGTCGCCATATTGGAATATTACCTGATGTTTTTAAACACCAATTCAGTGTAACATGAGGAAATTATATTTGATTTTTTTATAGTAAAATCTGATCGCGTTTAATATCATGCGTATTGTGTATACACGTGCTATAACGGATATTGAGTGGGGACGGCGAAGATGAAAAGTGGACCTTGCTGTGTCTGATATCTCAAGCCTATCTATATACAAGGTATTTTATCTAATGATCTAATAAATCTTTATTGATGATTTTTCTCGATTAATACCTGCTTCTTTTCTGGGTACTCCCGTTATTATACCATGTACTTTTTAATTCTCTAACTTCATAATTGTGACAAGGTTTTGAAGAAATTATTGAATAGGCCTATTATTATTTTTTAAATTATTTATCATGTGAGTAGGCAGATGGCTAAATTTAATATCATATTTTGTACATAAATATTTAATATGCTTCTCGGGCATGCATAAGTAATGGACATCATAAAATTTGTCTCAGATAAATAAATTAATTTCTAGAATTTCTTGTTGATGTTATTACTCCGCTGCTACTCATGATTTTAATAAACAATGAATTGTCAAATAGGGTAGCTTAAGTTATATAGAGATTTAATAATTATACATGCTTATATATATATTTTAATGCTAATTAATAATAACAACAATAAGAAATGATGATGATAATATGGATAAGTTATAATATAAGTTTATATACATATATATATATATATATATATATATATACAATTTATTTGTGCAATGTGAATATGTGCGTATATCAATATTTAAAGAAAATCAATATTAATTTACAATAAAATTAAAATTTAGTGGATTATATATACCGCCCTCATAGAG